TTTAGTGCCCATAGAACTGAAGCCATAAAGAATAAAGCGAGCGAATTAAAAATTCAGATAGCTGTCATTCCTTGTGGACTGACTAACAAATTGCAGCCTTTAGATGTATCGGTAAGCCATTTAAGGAAAAAGTGCGAGAACGATGGAACAAAGGATAGGAGAGCTACATCACGCCCTCACCCTCAGGTAGAATGAAGCGGCCCTCTATTTCACAATTGTGCGAGTGAGTAAAAAGATCTTGGGAGGACGTAAAGTCTGAAGTAATTGTTAAATCCTTTAAGAAGTGCGGAATCAGCAATGCTCTTGACGGAACAGAAGACGACGCATTATTTGAAGATGATACTAGCGATGACGGAAACAGTGATGACAATATTCTCGCTTTTGATGATGAGGATAGTGAAAAGGATTTTATGGTTTTGAAAGTGATTAAAGTCTAATTTCATGATAGGGACGTTTTCCTTGAATCTGTTTTTTTTGTTGTTTCTGCTTATTTGTACTATGTTTGATTGCTTGCTGTCATTATTTATTCATTATTGAAATTTATATATCATGTCAAAATAGCTTGCTGTTTGTTAATTTCCTTAAAAAAGTATGTTGGTAATTGCATTCAATGATTGTATTCGGTTTACGAAATGTGAGAACTAAAAGAAACCCATTTTATATTGTGGTACTGTGTCGCGCAGACTATTGAAACTTTTTTTCCTTGTGTGTGGCCTTCTAAATAAGGGTGCGTCTTATATGCCGTCAAGTACGGTAAGCTGCTCCTATTTTGTATAAGAAAATAATATACGCTGTGTATTTGCCCCCTTCTGGTTTTCAAGTGGCAAAATTAGTTGGAAAAGAAAGAAAGATCTATGAGTAAACATAATATTAACTTTATTTTTATCATGTTTAAAAATGTGTTCATAAATGATGGCTTTTCTTTTCTATTTGAGTTTTTATCAGTATGAAATTTAAAAAAAAAAAAAAAAAAACTTTTAAAATCAAATGAAATTATACAAAAAACATAAAATTAAATTTTAATTTAGAACAATGGAAAACTTAATATATTTTATCTTAAAATTATGTTACAGTAGTTTAATAAAGTGATATGTTATAAAGTGGCTTTGAGTCAAATTTGACTGGAGAAAAGTATATTACCTTGCTGTATAAAAAATCTCCAGAATTTTACATATTAGAGTTGGCAGTTATGTAATGAAATGAAAGAAATTCGATACAAATTTTTAGTTAATCTTTAAAACCTCACTTAGTATAATTATTGCCTGCTGTGTATTTTAAGTATTTCTGGTTTTGGAAGACATTCTAGAATAGGAATTTCAAAGTTTTCAGTTTTCTTTTTTCCTTTGTAACTTTAAAAATAAAAACAACATATTTTGAGATTGTAAAAAGGAATTTTTCTCAGTGCCATTACAGTACGTATAGCAAGCAATGGTACTAATACTGGCAGCATTCCAATAAATGTAAGCAGTTTGTAATATTAGCTGCAGAACAGATAACTCCAGGTAAATTTTAATATGGGGTAAAACTGTGCATTAAACTGACAATTATTTTAAAAAAAAATTGCTGCATTTTAAAAAGGCGAATGCTTAATATTTTAATACATAAGTTGACAAATTTATCAAATAATCTGAAACTGATAATTTAAAGTTCTTATGTCACAAAATTTGTAAAAGAATATTGAAAAGAGCATAAATTAATCTAAATGTTCCATTTAAAAAAGAAGGCATTTAATTTTTTCCTTCCTTTTTGTGTTTGAAATAAAATGTTATTTCTCATTTACACAACTACAGGTAAAGAAAAGTAGTGTTCTGTTGTATATATGTAAAAATAATATTTATTCATACTGTAAGTAATGCAAATTTTTAGGCAAGTCTTATTAAAACATGTTCTAACATATTTAAACAAATAATTTTTTTTTACATGTGTATAAATGCCATTAAGCTAAGACAACTTCATGCAGATAAATTCTTCTGGCTTGCAAGCAAGCATACCGATACTTATTAAGCAAAGCATACTGCAAGCACATTCATACTAATTTGTTGCTTGATAGCCTCATATGAAAAGGCAGTCACAGAAGAGCAGATAAAATACATTGTGCATTATGAATACAAAAAAGACAGTAGTACAGCAAATGCTGTAAAAATCTTAAAAAGTGTATGGTAAAAGTATTTTGATGAGTCAGAAGTGCTAATAATGGTTTTGTAAATTTTGACAAAGTGACCTACAGGAGTTGAAGAGCTCTCAGAATTTAATTCATCATCATTGCCATTTGAAGTACTTGGAATCCTATGTAAGCTTGGCAGGCAGATTCTCCATGAACTGACTGATGCCAATCAACAAGAATAAGTAAATATTTGCATTAATTAAAAGGAAAATTATTATTGTGATAAAAAAGACTGATGGTTCAAAGCTTGCAAAATTTCATTGATGAAAAGAGTACAATTTCTTTGAATAACTGAAAACAAATTTGGTTCAAAGCTTGCGAAATTTCATTAATGAAAAGAGTACAATTTCTTTGAATAATTGGAAACAAATCTTTTAAGACTCTTCCTTCAGTAAGCTGGCTGATTTCTTTAGAGTGGCATGAAAAACCTATTAAGCATATGAAGAATATTATTGATTCAGATGGGGAATATATATTTGATTAAATTAACATTTTTCCTAGATTTTTTATTTCTTAAAAACCTACTTGATAAACAACATTACTTATAGGATGGTCTGAAAACATGAGTGATAATTATCCCATTTAATCATTTGCCAAAGGAAGTAAATGTTAATAAAATGGCAGCCAGATAACTCAGCTAGGACATCTGTCCAGTAGCATATGATACTGTGCACTGATTTTTATTTCCTCAAACAGTCTACTAAGAATATTAAAACTATTAATATTTGTCCAAAGTGTCAATCTAACAAATACAGAAAATCTCTTTCTTTGCGAAGGATGTAAGAAAAGTATGTGTGTAACATTTGAGATCCATGTGCATATGGTGATCAAAATAAGCATAAAATACTATAAATTATCTATTCAAATTATCTAAAATGCATAAATTTGCATTTTTAAATTTTAATTAGCAGAGAAATTAATGCATTTAAAGGCATTCAATACTCAATAAATTTTGAGTGTCAAATACCCACTGCATATTCTTTGATGTACCATTTGAGTGTATCTTCTCATTGGTTAATGATTTTTATTTAGACCTCTAAAAAAATCATAGAACTTTGTTTTTTCTTTTCTTATTGATTCTGAGTGAAATTGTGAGTTGATTTAATATTTAAATAGTATTATGTTTGAAGTATATATTTAAAGTATTATGATGAATAGAAATTCACATCAGATTATTTCTTACGATAGAGACTTTTTACTTGAAATTATTACCAAGCTGAAGTAGAATTTTGCCTAATATTTCATATTTAAATGAAAGTGGCATAATAGTCAAGTTTTCTGCAAAATTTTAATAATTATCTTCTTGTTTTCCTCAGGAGGCTTATGCATCAGAAATTAGAAAAAGCTGGTATATCTTGTACTCTTATTTTAGATGCTGCTGTTGGGTAAGAAATACTCTTTGTCTTATTAGAATATTTTAATTATACTATACATATATTTGTTTATTGGTGCATTTGGACTTTGAGGCAACCAATTTGCCAAAATCTTACAAAAAGAATATCAACCTAAGCATACAAAACTTTTGGTAGCTAGAATTTAAGAAATGCTGCAAGAATAGTTGCAAAATAATTTTCATATTCCTTATACTTCCACTACATAAATTAAATGAGATAGGATATTCAAAATGACATATTTTGCAAGTATGTTTTATCTTCTCTGTTAGGAACTTGACCCACAAAGCACTTTTTTTGTTTTGTGGCATATGCATTTGCATATCCACTGTTAAGGTGTAAAATCATACTGGCATTATTTTTCATGAACACAAAAAGACCAATGTTTCGACAATTTTATGGGGCTCCTATTTTTTTTTTATTTTTTTTATAGAAAACTTCCATTATAAAGTTATTCCAATGAATGGCTATGTTATTACAAATATTTCATTGTTTCTCTCGTCACCTGAATGATGTCCTTTCTTCTGACCTAACAGCAAAAAGCATATAATGACCAGAAAACAAATTTTTGATTCATAAAATGAGTTTCCATCTTGAGTGTTCTTCCTTTCTGGACACTGTTAATGAGTTTATGGATGGAATGTCATTATAATGAAGAATTGAACACCAGAATGGGTGCCCTAAATATCTACGAATACCTTTTATCTTATTTATACATTGTAAACTTTCACATATATAATGCTTTGGATTGCATTAATACCACGCTGTTATTCTGTAAAAATGCACTGTAGATAAAATAAGTTTTTAATGGGATAAAGTATTTGGTTTGTTGATTATGCAACATGTGTTCAAATGTGCCAGTTACATATCATTACTAAGTTCATGCAGAAATAATTTACACTTTCGTTTTTAATTCTGGTATGGTTTGCAGTGTATCAACGTACAACTTGCTGTTCAAAAATCTTCCCCCCCCCAAAAAAAAAAAGTTGCATGTGAACAAATCTGGTGATCTTTCAGACCATGAGATGTCGCCATGTTTGGATATGAGTCTGTCTGGGAAGAGTTCTCTTAATGCAGCCATAGGCACAGAAGCAGTATGACTTACGAACCCATCCTGCTGGAAAAAATTAATTTCTGGACACCTAGGGAGCTGTTGCATCAAAAATGGTGATCTTCTGGCCATTATATGTATCAGTCTGCATGTATATTTATGATGTTTCCTTTGTCATCTTTAAAAAAAATGTGGCCTAGTAATGCCAAATAATGAACATAAGCAACAATATGTAACTTTCAGGTTTTGTAATGGCTTTTCATGCAAATCACCTGGGTTTTCATCATTCTAATATTGACTAAAGTCGCACAGACACCATTCTTATAAAACGATTTTACACAGAAATCGCACTCGTTTAACAAATGGTGTTAAATGTCAGACAATAATACAAAACTTCCAGCACATTCAGAAAATGAACTATTGAACTTTCTTGCTTCATTTGTGGACCATGTATATATATATATATATGTTGTATAGGTATACATATTTTTATGCTGTATAGATATTTTTTTATATTGTATTTTGTGCATGAATATGTGGATGTACACATATGCACTTACGCTGTACAAAGATTGTGTACCTTTGTTAATGTTTGATATATGTGTTGATCCATTAAAAATAGAAACAGCAGTCTTAGATATGGAAAAAATAATTTTTTGTATCATACATCATTTAAGCATTCAGTCCAAGCAGAAAGCTGAAACAAATTTTTGTTGGTATGCTAATGCATCTTATGAACTTTTAAGACAGATTCACCTTTCAAATGTAATTGCTTCATATATTTCTGCTATAAAGAACTGTAGTGACATCAATTTCATTGGCTTTACAGAATTTTTTACATAAATATTTTATGCCTTTTATTGGTACATCTGTACCGTGATGTCTCCGAAAACTAAACTGATAATTGGAAAAAGACTGAAATACTGAAGAAATATATTACAGTTAGAAAAGTTAAGACTTTTATTCAGTTTTGTTTAACTTTCATATAAATTTAAAAATCATAAAAAATTGGCACTCTATTTGAACTTAGCAGAAATGATAAAAATGATGTGTTACATACGTGTAATCATTTTCCTTTTACTTGTATTATGAGAAGGGACTACAATAAAAATTCAACACCATGGATTATGTTAAGTATATTAATAATAATATGAATCAAAGAAGCAACACTTATGATCATGACTAATGTTATTTCTCTATAGTATTTTGAAAGTGTAATCATATATTTTAAATATGTACTCTAAAATGTTTTTAAATATACGATGTATCAATGAAACTCCTTACATGGCCTTATTTTTGTAACCATTGGCTGTAGACATGTACTTCCAATTAAAAAAATGTTTTAAATGATTTATGAGGTTGGAAATCATATTTAGGGTCATACACCATAGAAGAGTGAAAATTTATTTTTGCAAATAACTAATACATTAGTTATTTGCAAAATGGATATTGGAAGTTCAACTTGAATTTAATACCAGCCAAACTAGTTGGCTGCATGGTTGGTTTTCTTGGTCTTCCCGGTGTGCAACAGGTCAGTTTTCCTAAGAAAGTCCTTCACAAAGGTATCCCTCATGGATAACCCTCATGTGCTTTGCCACATTCCTATAACTTAACCTAACTGAAAAGAGAAGATAGTAGTTTCACTGTATTCATATTAGACTGTGTGTGCATACACATGCGTAAATATTTTTTATATAAGTATCATGATTTTTACAGTAAAGTATATATACACATATATATTTTATTTTTCATTAATTAAAATAAGGTATGTATTTATATATTGCAGATATGTGTTAGAAAAAATAGATATAGTGTTTCTTGGAGCAGAAGGTGTTGTGGAAAGTGGAGGGATCATCAATAAAGTAAGTTACATTAATTAAATATTAAGCATCACAGTAATTAAGAGACATTTCTAGAACTATCAATAAATCCTGCTATTTTAAAAGTACATTTAAGATTTTGTACATGATATTAAAAATTAAAAAAATTTTATGAACATATTTTGTGAATAATTGAAGCATTTGTTGGCACCTTGATTTTAGTCAAATCAATAAAATTAAATTTTACCAAGGCATTTATGTTAAATTTAAACTATATACACAGTTCAGTCACATTAATGTGACCACCTACCAAAAGCCCGAATAACTACCTTTTGCAGAGTGGACCACTGCAAGACAGGCAGGAAGAGTGTCAGTTAGGTTCTTGGTGTTCACTGGGATGTTGAGCCATACCGACTCCAGTGTAGGAGCCAGCTGTGCTAGGCTACACGGTTGAGAATCCATGCAGCGAACAACCCGATCAAGGAGGTCCCACAGATTCTCGATTGGGCTTAATTCCTGGCATTTTGCTGACCAGGGGAGTACAATAAACTCATCCCGATGCTCTTTGAACCACGAATGTACAATGCAAGCTATATGACACTTCACATTTTCCTGCTGATAGATGCCATCATTCTGAGGGAAAATAATTCACATCTAGGGGTGAACATGGTCCACAAGGACAGGTGTATATTTCTGTTGATCCATCATGCCTTCCACAATGATGAGTGCTCCCAGAGAATGGCACGAAAAATTCCCCAGACCATAATGCTACCTCCTCTAGCTTGGACATTTCTGACTGTTATTACGGGGTGTTTGCTTTCCGACGTTTCACACCGTGTATTCCACTTCCGTCTGTCCAATGGAACATAAAACATGATTCATAAAAAAAAGCCACCTATTGCCACTCAGTGGACGTCCAGTTGCAGTAATGGCATGCAAATTCCAGCCTTTGTCACTGATGAACTACAGTCAGCATAGGTACTTTAACTAGGCGTCTGCTGTGGAGGCCCATATGCAGCAATGTTTGCTGAACCATCATTGAGGAGACGCTGTTGGTTACCCATTGGTTCATCTGAGGAGTCAGTTGCTCAACGTTTGCATGTCTATTTGCCTAAATGCATCTCCGCATCCATCCTTCACCTCCGTCATCTATGGTTTATGGTGCATCAGATTTGGCCACATCGCTGATTTTGGATTAGTGCCGTTTTGCCTCAATGGTATACTTTTACTACAGCTGCACGTGAACAGTTTGACAAAAATTAGCCGTTTCGTAAATTCTTCCACCTTTGGCCCAAAAGCCAATGATGTTGGCCTTTTTGGATACTAGATAAATCGTGCCATTTCTACACTATGCCAATGATTGCAATGTTTTTTTTATTCTCTCGGCACCCTTTATATACGCTCCACTGCAATGTGCTGCCACCTTCTTTCTGTGATTGGTTATTTCACATTGGCGTCAAAAGGAGTTGGTGGTCACATTAATGTGACTGGACTGTGTATATTCCCTTTGCATTCTCCTAGAATTTTGTTCATAATAATGTAAATATAAATTATATTAATTTTGTTCATAATAATGTAAATATAAATTATATTTTCTTACCTTCATATTGTTTTTTAATGTGATGCTATATTTTCAGATTGGAACATATGGTATCGCTATTTGTGCCAAAGAAATGAATAAACCTGTGTACGTTCTTGCTGAAAGTTTCAAATTTCTTCGCCTTTACCCTTTGAATCAGAGAGATTTGCCAAATGAATTAAAGGTTAGTAAAAAATTAATTGCTACAATATATATATATTTTTTCCCCAAGTTCATCAGGGTGTAAGCCAAACTTAATTGCTCTTAAAACTATGGCTGGTTTAACCTTCCTTTGCTACAAATGATAGTCATTCTGAAATTTAAATAACATGCAACTGGCACTTAACTAATGCATATCCTTACATTTTAAAATGTTTTTAAACTGTAAAAATGCAAATAAGAGGTAAGACAAAGTTTTTTTGTAGCACAATGGCTTGTTCATATGACTAAAATTTAATAAAACTTATCCATTGCCTCTTCTGCAGTCTAAGGAATAGAAGTGCCAAATATCTGCAACACACAAATAGATTTTAATATTTACACAATGTGGCTGGAACTACTCACCACCACTAGGCAGTAGTTATTAGCAAGTACCAGAAAACACTCACGGAAATGAGTTCAGTTAACAAGTGGGCAGCTCACGAAACAAAAAATTGATGCATTGTCAAAAATATACATTCATTCACTCTTTAAATTCCATATAATTTACATTCTGATGAAATTAATGAAAGAAACAGAGACAACATGAAAGAATTAATTTAAAAATGTCATGTTATTTAAGTAAATTTTACATGGCTGTTAAATTTTACATATTGAAAGTGATTTTAGAAATCAGACAGATGTTTAAGTATGAAAATACAATAAAAATGTTTAAAACATTTTCCTTCAGTGTTCTTTTAAGGCATCATATATAACAGTTATGGTTTTAGAATTGATAACTAGTATAAATTTTTTTGTAATTTTATTGATAACATTGTAATATTTGTAATTATAGCAGTTTAGATATCATCATTAAAATTATTTAGAATTCAAAACAGGTTTCACATTGGTTTGTTTTACTTTGCTAAATCATTCTAGAAGCTTGAAGGAAACCTCATCTTATGATTTAAAATATTTTCCTATTAAATTCTTGAAACAGTCACAAGGAGGCTGAAGTTTTGATTTGCTTATAAGTGCATGATGAATTATCTATTTCATTTTTTAATTTTAAGTTATAGTTAGATTTTCTCTTGAGAAGCAAAAATGAATATTGAAGATATGTTTGTATGAGAGTACTCAATTCTTTCACAGCTTGAGCACAATGATATACACTTAAATATTATATAAAACTACAAGCTTTTAAATTCTAGTTACAAACAAATGATAACAAATGATTTGTGAAAGCTGCAGTATAACTAAGTTTAGAATGCCATATTAAGGTTAATTTTTAGAATGTAGAGTGGAGTATCACATAGCATTCATGTTTAATACTTAGTTTATACATATGCTGTCCCATATAATTCCATTTTATTCTATAATGGTGCACATAATGAAATGTTAGTAATCATATCTAGCATTACCCAGCATCTTTATAACTTTTATATGAGGTATGTTTTTAAAGCAAGCACTATTTGAAATTTTAAAAAAAAAAGTAGAACTTTCTTACTAATTTTGTTTTTATACAAAAGCCTGCACCTCAATTTATTTTTCTACATAATGTGTACCCCTTGTCATAACATATAGCCAGGTTTTGAATCCCCTCTTCCTAGAAGTTGATTTGACACATATTGCAACACAGTCGTTTTGATCTTGTAGTCGTCATTGTGGCAAAGACCACTCAGATGCTTCTTCAAATGCGGGAATAGGTGATAGTCGCTGGATGCTAGATTGGAACTGTACGGGGGGTAATCAAGTTGTTCCCAGCGAAATGATGCAATGAGATTTTGAGTTCATTTAGCTACATGTGGATGGGCATTGTCATGAAGCAAAGCAATCACCCTACTCAGTACGCCACACCTTTTGTTTTGGATTGCCCAGAACAGTTTGTTTAATGTCTCACAAAACGTTGCATTTATTGTGTCACCATGAGGCAAAAAATTCACTAACAACACCCCCTTCCTCTTCCAAAACACAATACACACTGGACTGAAGCTGTTTGCTTGAAATTCACTGTCTTGGATAATGATGAATGCTGCCATTCCTTGGATTGCTGCTTCGATTCTGGTATAGTGTAAGCCACCGAGGTTTCATCAGCTGTGACAATTTGGCTTAAAAATTCATCACCTTCCTCTCTGTATCACTGAAAGAAAGTTAAAGCACTATCTAAACGTGGGCTTTTGTGCACCTCTGTCAACATTTTTCAGTACCCAGCATGCATACAATTTTCAATAATTTAGATAAAAAAGAAGAAAGTCATTAAATAATGACAAAATCATAAAGCATGTGTTCTGTTTCTCTCGTTCCTCAACTTTCTTCACTAAATCTTCAGTAATGACAGAAGGTCAGTCACTTCGTTCATCATCATGAACATTCATGCAACCATCTTTAAAGCTGTAACCCATTTCCATACCATTACGCCATTCATAATGTTTTCTCCATACACTTCACTAATTTGGTGATGAATTTCAGCCATTTTCACATCTTTAGCACTAAGAAAAACAAATCGCCAATCACATTTCACAGTCAGTGGGATTAATCAGTGGAGCTATTTTAAATGCTTAAAAACAAATGTTAACACGGTCAAAAGTTTTTGTAATGGCACCTGTGGCTTGCCAGCAGATGTAGGAAAACAACATGCATGCATGGAATGTTGACTGCAGTGCTGCCATGCTGAAATTTCAAAACGGTACTTACTTTAAAAACATGCCTTGTTTAACATGTGTAGAGCATTATACTCAGTGTTCATGTTTAAACTGTAGAGCAATCTGTTATGTTTAGCATCTTAGTTTAATTTTGTAGTGACATATTATTTACATGCTAATGTGTAGAGTATAGAATATTGCATCATTATTGTCTAGAGCGAGTTTTCTAAATTATGATATATATACCACTATGGTACATTATACAGTGTGTCACTAAAAAATATATGCACCCAGAAGGAAACAAACTACCATCACGAAACTTAACATGTATGTAGTGTATGAGGAAACAAACAAATGATTACACATTCAGAACAAAATATCATTATATTAAGAAGTTATGGCATTGAAAAGGTTACAAATCAGTAAGTAGTATAGCCACCTCTGGCAGCTATACAAGCTGAAACATAGCATGTCATCGGATGAAGTAGGTCACCTATCATCCATGCGGAAGCTCGTGCCATAATCTTTGCAAGTGGACAGTTAATTCACGTATATTCTGGGACGGCTGCAGTTGCCTTCAAAGCATGTCCCAAATGTGCTCGATTGGCAAGAGGTCTGGTGACCTGGCAGGCCACGAGAGTAGAACCTCAAAGGTTAGTATGATACTGAGAGGGCTCAAATGGAAGAAGTAAATCTAAAATCAGTAATATAATAAATAACTAAACTGTAATGATTATTAATTAAAAAATTAATTTGATGTTATTGTATCTAATTATGCATATAAAAAGGAGAAAAAGGCTCATTAATTGTACTTCATTGTAAAAATGTAAAAAAGCGCATGAGGGCTGCCTCTGTGGACTATTTTTGTGAGAAATTGACTCATATTCCTGTTTTACATGGGCAAAACCAGTATTCAGACTCATTATGCACTTTTATTTGTGTATATTACAGCATCCTGAAGGGTCAGACATTTTCCTGCCAATGCAAAGGTCACTGAAGTAGTCCTGTTTTTTAAAGGGCAGAAGGACCCTAACATAGCATCATCATGCAGGTCAATCTGCTTATTGCTCACACTTGGTAAACTGAATAATTGCATACAGTGATAATGCCAGTACATTCTTACAGTAATAATGCCAGTACATAAACAGCACATTCTTCCTATTTCCCCTCAAAAATGTTATTCTCCTTTATAGTTCACTTTCCTTTTTTTAAAAAAAAAAATTCCATCACTTGCTTTCCCTTGCAAAGACAGATTTTGGGGAGCTTGATATAAGGCTCTAAGAAATAATTATAGTTGCTGATGGGACTTAAACAGGCTGACAAGCAACCTTTCCAAAGCAGTCCAGCTGTAAGAAAGAAAGCAGTCCTTAACTACCGAATCAAATTTAAAAAAAATCAGCGCTGGGGTATTATCAAATTGAAATCTCCTACATTGAAGTTGTTTACTTAAGGTTATTATTTATAATAAGATTTTCATTTTTAGTGGTGCTTTAGATGTCAGTAAGATAAAAATTTTGTATCAGAATTGTAGATTTGTCTTTGAAACAAGTTTTTATTCCTTTATAAATTTTGAGATCTATACTTAATTATTAAAATTAATTAATTCATTGCTTTGAAGTAACAAAACTGTGGGCAAATTTATGCTAGTGTCAAAATGTTTGTATTAGATAAAATGTATAGCTTTAAAAACATAAACTGTGTCCACATGTGGAAATTGGTAAATGACTGTTCCTTTGCAAGGCTGAAATGCATGAATAGTTTCTTTCCATAGTTTCCGTAATTTCTTTCTTTACATTCATTTCTAAACTCATTTCAGGCAGCTGATCCTATGATCTTCTTTCAGTATACAACTTTCCATAGTATGCTAAATCATATTATCTCCAAATTTGTCGAAAGAGATTTATTGCAAGAGGCAAAAAATTGTGAAAAATTGATAAAAGTATATATTCTGGATCAAACCATTTATTATAATATTGCAGATATAGATGTGGATATTGCTGCTGGTGCAAGTTTATCTAAAAGTAGAATGTCTCATCTTAAAAAAAGAGAATTTAGAACTCAGTGCAAAAATCTTTTTAGTTAAGCTTGCATCAAAAATAATTGAAAGAAGTCCATTTAAATATAGCTTGATCAAATACATTTCTTCATTAGATCCTAAGCTAATTATGTCTAATGAAATTTTACGTGAGAAAAGGATGGGAATTGCATATACAGTAAGAAAATGAATGTGTAAATTCCGCAGCTGCAGATAAATCAAAAGTGCAGTTTAAAGAATTGTTATTCATTCATATTCACCTGTTTATGATGTCAAAAAAGTAAATGGAGGTGAGATGAATATTAAAATAACTCCTGATATGTTACAATATGCCAGATCTGCTCATCATAAAATCAAATACTCAAAGACAAAAAGCTGTGTGATAGTAAACATAAAAAAATATTATATGGACAAAAAGAAAGATTAAAATTTTGAAGTAAAAAAAAAAAAAAAAATTGAGCAGACATGTTTCAGATGCACTAAAAATCATTTCTGGTATTATATACTCTTTTCATGTAATTAAAAAGGGTATTTATTTGGGCTTAGCTAATTTTGAGATATAGTTGATGATTGTTGAAGAAAATGGCGGTTTAATACGCAAATATTATATAGCAAGTTTTTTTAGTTTGGCAAAAACGTAATTTGAAAATTATTGAGGAAAACAACTTCTGTTTTAGTTATAATAGTAATTAATGCTTTGGGGATTATATATGTGTTATATGTAATTGGCAAATTTTTATGTTTTCAAAGTGGTACCATGATTAGTTTACTCTCAGCACAGCCAACATGCATTACGCAGACAGACTGAAATTTTCTTAAAATGTGCCTGGAAAACTTTGAAAAGTCAGGTAATTTCATTCTTCTATTTAAGTGACAGCCCTGATAAAAGTTGACAAATTTTGTGTTATCTATGATGCAGGAAAGTAATAAAGTAATTCATTTTCTGCATTAAATTGTTTTGTCAAATGTGTTGTTCATTCATTCAAAAGAAAATATCAAAATCAGTTGCAGGTTTATGAAATTAGGGGCTATTACACTTGAACTTTTGGATGCTGTTCACCTTAAGGCATGTGGTATGTTTCTCTTTTTTGGGGGGGAGGGGGAGGAAATTAACAATTTATGGGCTTTTTTTAGATTTTGATTTGCATGCCACAGTAAATCTCCCTTTGGTCAAGTTTGATTACTTTAAATAACTGCTTCTTTTAGAAATCACAAAAAATTTGTCTCCTGTGTAGTTATTTTTTAACTTTAGGTATGTTAACTTCATAGCTTTCTTAGTTCTATAATTCTTGCAGCTGTTTTTTATTGTATTCAGTGCTTTAATTCAGAATTTTATTACTAAAACTATAATTTTAGCTGGAGCTTGAAATAAGATAAGCTCCAGTATTTTAATTTATTATTCAACTCTTTATCATTAGTTTAACTAATATTTTATATATATCTTTGCATTTAATGTAATTTTGTCTGTTATATTAGCTTCTTTTCTCTCTTTCTTGACAGTAATATATGAAGCCTTACCACTGATTTGGTAAGGCTTCAACGCTACTGATTTTAAAAATTAGCAATCCGTATGGAAGTAATAATATTAGATTCTGGCAAGGAATAAATTGAAAATAAAGAATGTTTCAACATAAATTATTTTTGTATAATTTTATAAAATAGTTGTCAACAATGTTGATTAATTTAAATCCACAGTTTGCTATTAAATGGAATGTGGATTTGCTATTTTGTGTGTGTTATATCTTTGTATATTTATGTGTGTTAAAAATGTTACTTTAAAAAGGACTAATGATAATGTATCTCATTGCAGCATCTATCATCCAGAGTAAATTCTAAGGAACATCCATTAATAGATTACACACCTCCATCATATATTACTCTACTATTTTCTGATCTTGGGATTTTGACACCTTCTGCTGTGAGTGATGAACTTATAAAGTTGTACATGTGACTGTGCAAATAGAAATAAATATTTATTTTCTTGACTTAATCTCTCATTTTATTTAAGCAAATTAAAATAATAGAATGCTGGTATTTTAAAACTGTATATTTTATAAAGTTCTAAAAATTGTTAATTTTGGGGTATCATCATCATTGTAGGAAAAAAAATCATTTTGCATCATAAAGTATTTAAAAAAGAATTCAGTAATACGATCACTAGAAAAACCCTACTGAAATTTTTTATTTACCATTTAAATGGGAGGAAATATTAATTTTTAATTAAATCGTACTTTTACAATTTCTTTTTAAATTATTTATCATATGAAAATTATTTTAAATTTAGTCTCATAAGATATTTTTTAAAACATTAAAGAAAAAGTTATGTTTTTATGTACCATATGTTGAAAATGGTACTTAAAAAAAAGTATTTACATATAACTGCATTTTCAGTGTAGTTTTGTTAATTTATTTCTTTTCTTCCATTCATTTAAGTTTATAATTTTTAAACATCTGTACAGTGTAATCCGTTTCTTATGCTTCCATATTTTGCATTAATTCCGCATTTGCTTATTAAATTATAATACAAAATTTTTCTGTTGCATCTCTAACTAATAAAATTTCCCAATACAAAGACGTTTTTTAACCATTCCTCTTTGTATGATTTCTCACTAAAATCCCTTATTTAATTTTGTCAAAAAGGCACGTTTTATGTTTTGGTTTGCTGAATAAATACATTTTTTAAAACTGCAAAATAATTGTTCTAAAATGAAAAGAATAGAAAAATTACTATTCGTTGCACGTGTGATTCAGTGTGATTTTAAAAGCTATCAAAATATGAAAGCTTTGTATCCAGGACTTAGGCTTTGAAAATTCATTAGAGCCCATTATTTTCAAGTCTCTTGTATACTAATAAGAAATAAAATTATGATATATTGGAAGTGATACTAAAAATATTGTACAATATATAAATAAAATGATGCTTTGATGAATATAAATTTAGAGTTCCAACCTAAATTAAAAGAAAAGAAAAATTCTTGAAGTATTATAAAAATTCAAAGATCTTGAAATTCTTGATTTGATCAGGTAACTTCTTTTATAATCCTCCTTTTACAACCCTCCTGTATAAAATCTAAGATTTTTCTTTTACATATTCATCAAATATATTAAAATAACTATTTATGCATATATTAAAAAAATGATTTATACAGTACAAAGTCTTTAATCCGGACGTCTGTAATCCGGACCTCAAAGCTACAAACTTTCTGCACATACATAGCGTTTATGCATGCGCATAATACCTTTACACATGCTCGCTTAATGTATAACGGACGGTATAAGCTAGGCTAAAATTATCTAATTATCTATTTCAGTTAATGTTGCAGATTGCGTTGTTCCTTAATCTTCTAACTGGATCCGGCTTATTACTTTTTGCAGACTGTTAGAGCAATTTTATAAAAAGTAAGCGTGAACTTTTGATTATGTCAAAAAGAGTTTCCGATTCTGGAACTGCCAAAGGATCTATAAAGCGAAGCATGTTTCGATATCCATCAAACAAAAAGTGGAATTGCTGCAAAAAATGGATGAAGGCATGAAGAAAGTGACAGAGAGGTTAGTGAAAACGAAAAAATTTCGATTGATATGTTAGTCGGTATTCTCGGCAGAGTAATTACAGGACTTGAACAGCGGAACTTTATAACTGAACAAGAAATTATGTCTGTTTATAGAATTAAAGAGAAAGTATTAGCACATAAAACAAAGCAACTTAAACAACTTACATTGAAAGAAATGTTTAATAAAGTAAACAAATAAATATTAAGCCTTTTTTTTTTTTTTTTTTTTTTTTTTTTTTGTAAATTTTGATACCCTTTAGATCATAATTGCTCTTTATTTCATAAATTACGGTTTTATATTTTTAATTTTGTAATTTCTGCATGCCATCTTACCAGGGGAAAAAGCCCTAATCTGGAAACGTCGAAGTCCCAACGAATCCGGATTAAAGACTTTGTTCTGTATTGTGTTGTAAAGCAATGAAAAAGTTTCTTAAAGTAGGTAAATTTAATTAGGTTTCTATTAGGTTTAGACTACTTCTATTAGAATTCTATCTAATTAAATTAGGGTTCTATTAGGTTTAGACTTAGATAGGAAAATAATGCAATGTACAATAGAGTATGGTATTAAGATGGGCAGGTTCTGTACAGGCAAATTCGTGTAACTACTTGCTGATAACTGTAGAATGATTAAATATCAAAGCAAATATAAACATATTTTCCTTATAATAAGGTAACTAACATTTACTACTGTATAGTTAATAGCAAAATTTTTAAATATGACCATAATTCAAAATTCATTGTTGAATACATTAAAATATATTCACATAAATGCATGAAAAATTCAAATTTTCCATAAAATGAACACTGATAATCTGCATTTTCAAGTTAGCTGTACAAATTTAGTGAATAGAAATTTTACATTATCCTATAATAATACAATTTAAAAATTTTATGTGTACTTTGCATGTATATGTGTGTGTGATAACACAATATCTAAAACTATGCCCAGAACAATAAAGGCTTGTAAAATGAACTCAGTCAGTTTACTGGCATAGCTGAGTCTTTATATCTTAGGATTATACTTTAAGGGGATAAAGGGTGTGTGCTATCACTGCTTCTATCCTTCCGTAGAAGAGGATGCAAGAAGTGAGACACAGAGTGGAAATCATTAAAACAGAATGTAACCAAATCTGTAGTTGTTTAAATATCTGGTATTCTGGCCAGACTGTAAACATTGGTTTAAATTTTTTTCTTCTCCTCGCTTCCAGGCTTTAGAAAACATAACAATAAATTTGGAGTGGAAAAACTTTGAGGTGGGGGGAAGAAAAGAACTAAACTAGAAGAGAATCAAATTCAGGAATGATTTTTCACTATTAGGTTTAGAGTTAAGGTTCAAAATAAAATTGCATAAGTCGGCATTATGATTTTTATTGATATGCTGTTTATATTTATTAATTCAGTGAAGTAATTAAATGTTTCTGACATGCCTCTTTTAGTTAAAATCGTATATGTAGCTTGTATTGCTTTAAAAGCCCGAAAATTAGTATTAATTTGCTTTAAAAGCCTGAAATGAAATTTTTCTTTTCACTTTACATAGTTGTTATGTACTAACCCTTTTTCTTGTATGAGCAATATGTTTTCGTCCCATTTGACGATATCTTGTTCTTGGCGCATGTTGGCTATAATGCCACTCAAAAACTATGCACTTGTAGTTTTGTTTTCGCCTATTGCAGCACGCTACGTATTAAATCAGTTCAATAAATAGTTAAAGTTCATACATGTTTATGTTTAATTGTTCATCACAAAACAACACATCCGCATCCACAATGGTTATGAAGAATTTTTTTTGCGTTAGAAATGCCTTCAGAACAACTGTTTATGAAGTGATTCACCACAAAAATTTAGTTTGTGAAATAATTATGGGATTCTATTTCAAATACAGTCAAAAGTCGTTAATCCGGACTCGCCGGGACTTCGGCAATTCCAAATTATCGATTTTTCCGGATTATAGATCATCAGTTTAAATCTGTTAAGATGGCCTGCAGAAATTATAAAATTAAAAATATGAAACCGTAATTTACGAAATAAAGAACAATTATGATCTAAAGGGTATCAAAATTTACAAAAAAAAAAAAAAAAAAAGAGCTTAATATTTATTTGTTTACTTTATTAAACATTTCTTTCAATGTTAAGTTGTTTAAGTTGCTTCGTTTTATGTAATAATGCTTTCTCTTTAATTCTATAAACAGACATAATTTCTTGTTCAGTTACAAAGTTCCGCAGTTCAAGTCCTAAAATTGCTGTGTCGAGAATACCGACTAATTTGTCAATGGAAATTTTTTCGTTTTCAATAACCTCTGTGTCACTTTCTTCACTATCGGAAGCGAATTATAATGACGAGGAATTTGATTTAAATCATATCAAAGACGGAGGACATCGAGATGAAATACTACCATTTAGTAAGGAATTATAAACCAAATAAAATAAAAACATCTGCCCTGAAGATAAGGATAGTGCTGACAGATCAACTTCCAGTTCATTGCACGCCGCGACGTCCCCCCACCCCGGCAGAGCAGCGTGAAATTGATAAACAGATTTCGGAATGGTTAGAGAAACAAAGGATATGCCTTTATCCATTTTTTGCAGTAATTCCACTTTTTGTTCGATGGACATCAAAACATGCTTTCGCTTTGTAGATCCTTTGGCAGCTCCAGAATCGGAAATTCTATTTGACATAATCGAAAGTTCAAGCTTACTTTTATAAAATTGCTCTAACAGTCTGCAAAAAATAATAAGCCGGATACAATTCGAAGATTAAGGAACAACGCAATCTGCAACATTAACTGAAATAGATAATTAGATAATTTTAGCTTATACCGTCCGTTATACATTAAACGCGCATGCGTAAACGTATTATGCGCATACGCACACGCATATCCTCAGACGTAAAGGTCTTACGCACATATGTAAACTCGACGCATGCGCAAAAAGTTTGTAGCTTTGAGGTCCGAATTATGGGTGTCCGAATTAACGACTTTTGACTGTACATTTCATAACTAAAAAATTAAATTATCTACTGAATTTTAAATACATCAATTTGAACAATATTGTAGAATGAGCTCAAAAACACACCCTGAGTTTTCATAAAGGAACCACATAATCTCTCGAGCGAGATTTTCCTATATGTACTAATAAAATATTTAAATTGCTAAATCCATCCATTAGTCTCTGATTTTTTTTTTTTTTTTTTTTTTTTTAATATCAAACAACTGACCAGCCAAAGGAAAACTCTTCTTTAATATTATAAACTATTAACTACCTTCACGTATTTGTTATGCTAGTGGCTTTACTAGGAGTGCCAACTAATATAACTTGAAGAATGAGCCGTATAAGCTTCGTTGTGATAACATTTGATTGGTGAACACCTATGAAAAGGAGGGAGGCTGGTAAAACAGGAACGAAAGGCAAAATGTCAGCTGGATTACCTAGGAATATACTGAACCGTGATGATAAAAGAGAAGTCTACCGCAGCTGGTAGATATACAACTGTGAGACATCTAAGCAAATGTGCAATCAGTGTATGGGCGTAAGACAAGCCTGAAGTCAGACTATGCCTAGGTGCTTTTCACATGAGAAAAGAAAAGGTAAATAAATTAAGCTCCTATATTTGTACACATTCCTATATTTGAATACATTCGTATTCAATGATATTACTCCCTTTTAATGCATTTAATCGTAGCTTTATGTGCTAAAAAAAATGATACATGAATTATTTGTAGTTTTTATATGCTAAATGTTAAAAATATATTTTTGTTAAATAAACATACAACACTGAAATGATATAAATAGTAATGCAATAAATATAAAAAGCGTTGTACTAGTTTTAGAGCATTTGCAGTTTTTCATTATTTTATTTTTAAAAAATTTTCTTGCCTTTATTGAAGATGTATCATCAATTATTTTAGTTGCATTATTTATAGACCCTACATAAGGAGATACATTCCGATGACCTCAGAGATCGTCTTAATTATGTATAGTTAATGTTACAAACAATGTAGATGACCTGAGAGATCAGGTTACTTATGTATAGCTAATCTAAGCAAAGAACGTCATTCTTCCTCTTCTTCCCCTGTGGAATGTATCTTAATTTTTTATGCTGTCAAATATGTTGAAACTTCTATCAGCATCGGCAGCTGTTAAACTATTGTTGGCTGCGTACGGGTTCGTAATAGATTGAATGCACAAGTCTGACGAAAAGTTAATAAAATTTATTCTTATCACAAGAAATAAAACAAAATGCTGAAATTTTTAATATCACACAGTAGTTATATTTTAAACTATTTAAAACGTTAAATAGAACACCACTGAAAGCGCAGTGAAAGCTAATCCAATCTAAAAAATACAGCAGCTAAGTAAACATTAACATAGTAAACAACTGAGCTGAGATGCTCTCTCTCTGGCTTTTATAGCTTTTTAAGTACGAGAGAGTTTTATACATCAATTTGAACAATATTGTAGAATGAGCTCAAAAACACACCCTGAGTTTTCATAAAGAAACCACATAATCTCTCGAGCGAGATTTTCCTATATGTACTAATAAAATATTTAAATTGCTAAATCCATCCATTAGTCTCTGATTTTTTTTTTTTTTTTTTTTTTTATCAACGAAGCTTTTATAGCTTTTTAAGTACGAGAGAGTTCTAGCAATTTGTTGAAAGCAAAAGGCGTAGAATTACGATTACAGTTAACATTGTAGTCAATTACATTTATTGAAATGAAATATCAATGACGGAGATAAACTTTTATTAAATGTTAAATGTACGTGTTTTTGCATTACATTACACTGACAAGCAACATAAACAATAATTGCAGTAGTAACTTAAAACAAACCAAATACTAAATTTTTATTTAGAAACAAAAAGGACCATGGTCTTTTAGTATTTACAATTATAAACACTATGTACTATGGCTATAGTAAGAAGCTAACCTATCGTAATGAACGACTTTAGGCTTAGAGTTCGATGACTTACCGATCCGAACCACGACATCGTTCACCCTGTTTAGGACTGTGTACCGGACCACCCCAAGATGACTGTAGTTTCGGACAGGTCCTTTCCGTCGAGTCGGATTCCACAACCACACTTTTTTTCCTTCATTGAATCGATGTTCAATAGCTCTGGTGTCGTGTTGGGTCTTCATTGTCTCTGTCAACAAGTTGACTCGCTCTCGTACAAAATTGTGCATTACTTATTTAATGTATTATTTAATTTTTGCATCAGTAACAGTGTTATTGTCCCATTTAAAATATTATTAATGGTTTAACATTGTATTATTTTACTCATTATGCAATGCATATCAATATAACTCATTCATACATTGTAGCTGTATCGTATACATCTATAGAACTTATTAGTCATTCACATTGGAGAAGCCCAGAGTATTTCAGTTTTAAAAATTCATCATCGGAACATGTGGAAAATTGTATATGTTTTCCACCCCGCATTGTGCCCGTTATCATCCCTGGAACATTCACTTTTCCAGCACTCGTCATGCCCCCTTCAGCCGAGTTTTGACTATTAAAATACGAGGGTGGATCCAAAAAGAAGGTTAAAGGGCAATAAAAAAAATATTTATTAACCATAGACAGAAAATACAAAAGGGAATTAAGAGACATACGTGCCTGTCAATTTTTCCACATAATTTTAATTCGGCTTGATATAAACTACGTCCCTGCCCAGTGAGCCAGTTTTCGGTAGCTGTTTTCACATCGCCATCTGAAGAGAACCTCATTACATATAAATGTTCCTTCCATTTTGGAAAAGGAAATCGTCATTTGTTGCTAAATCTGGGCTATATGGGAGGTGACTCCAGTTTGAGTCTTGAGTTTGGCAAGCCGTAAGGGGCCGGGCGTTGTCATGCAGGAGGATGACATCATCACGCAGCATGCCAGGGCACTTACATCGGATGGCTTCACGTTACCTTGTCAAAGTGGCACAATAATGCTCTGGAGTAACGGTATGGCCACGCTGCAGATACTCGAGTAGGATAATGAATCATGGCTCACACCTGCAAGAGAGGCCACTTTTCTAAACGCCTTGCCTTTTTAATCGCTCTGACGCGTCTGCGAACTTACTCCCACAACCGCTGCTAGAGAACTTGTGTCTACATTCAGGGAGAAAAGTATTCCCTCCACAATAATTACTTTTCAAATGTTTGATGTCTGTAACTTTTTTTTTTTTTTTTTTTTTTTTTTTTTTTTTTTTTTTGAATCCTCCTTCATGCTTCAGTTTACTTGCCCTTCATCAAAGATAGCCCTGGAGAGCCTGATAGTCCAGGAAATTTTGATGCAAAGATAATTTTGTCAGCAGGACCACCTGGCCGATATGCTTACTGCTCCGCTGTCGATGGAAGGAAAGAATGCTTGAAATAAATAAATACACTATTGGGCCATTAAAATTGCAACACCGTGAACGAAAGCAAATAGAAAAAAGATGTTTATTTTATGTAAACACTATGGCATGAAGACAAAATGATTAAATTTGTAACCAGTTTGGAGGTTAACAGGGGTGCGAAATTAGTAGAAAAAGCTGCCACCCCTATTCCCTTAAACGACCCTTACCGTGGCCTTCGAGATTAGATGGCCTGGTCAGCAGCAGAATCACGTGATTTGACGTCACGTAAGGCGTCTGAACTTTCACCCTTCGCACTGCATTGTTGGACACTGCTAGCGAAGACTTCTTATTACGTTGATTGCGTGCTGTAATATTTTTATTATTCGTGTTTTTATTGCTAAATTTAAGTAATGTTGTTAAGGATTTTTGTTTTAAAATGCGATTACTAGTTACTTATTTGTTACAAGAATAACGTTCCACGTCTACGTAGAGCTGTCTTCATCATGCCGCACGATGTTGCGTTCCAGCATGCAAATCAATTACGATGGCACTATGAATATGTATCAGTATTCAAATTTCCAAAAAGATACAGTAAAACGGGATTTAGGATCAAAAAAATTCCAAGGAAAAAATTTAATTTCAAGTGATCGCAGCGTTTGTGTGTGAAAAACATTTCGAAAAGATGATATTATTCGCTATGATTATTACCACAACGAAGGTACTTTATTCAGATGTGTAGAGGGCATCCTAAATTAAATAACGATGCTTACCAATGCATTTTTTCTGATTGTCCAAAATACTTATCTGAAAGTCCAACTCCTCAGAGGATGAGCAGGGAGAAAAAAGAGCTAGATGGAGAAGCATATTTTAATGAATTTTGAGAAGGAAAAAATAGCATCATTTGAGGATTTTTCTTCTATGTACCAAATAATTAAATATTTCAGATAACTTCAAATATTATTTTGCACAAATCTGTTGCTGGTATTATATTTTATTGCTCATTTTCATCCATATCCTAAAATTGAAAAAAAAGTATCTTGTATCGCTTCATATAGATATAGCAGTTTATCTAGGAGATAAAGTTGTTCCAGTTGAAAGTAAAGAAGAACCAGTAAAGAAGTTGAACAGCATTCTTTACTGGTCAAACTTACCGAGATATATGTACAAAACATTAACATGTTTGATGTTCATGAAACTTGTTTAATGTGTGGAATTCCCTTTTCTAGTAGATTTAAAAAATAATGAGCACCGTTTCAAATATTTGTTTGAACAATTATACTAAAGTTCTTCAAAATAATATGCATACAAAAATCGATGAAAGGAAACTTAAAAAAATCAAGAATACGTGATGAAAAGATATGAGCAGGGGCGTAGCTAGAGGGGGGCAAGGGGGGCTCTGTACGGGGGCAGAACCAAGGGCGCCAACTGATGTCAAATTTAGAATTAAATGTTTTCCATCCTTGGCAGCAGTAGGGGGCGCGAACGAAATCTTCAGTTGTCCTGGGCGCTGAAAACTAGTACGATTCTGGATAGAGTATGTACATGAACTTATTTTTTAAAATATGTACTAAATATGATGCAGTTCAAATATATTTTGCAATAATATCTTTACATTTAAATTATTAATCCTTTTGCTGTTTCCTTTATTTGATAATACTTCATAATTTTTCAAAATAAATTATCAATTGCGATTAATTATTGCTTCAGTATACTAGTACAACTTGACAGTATTCCTAATTAGACAAAATGATGGTTGTTCTATGTATAGTTGTTTTTGAGGTTTCGTTGGCAAATTTATTGATTTTACGCTTTATGAAACATTAATGGTGGCTTTTATTTGCAAATATATTATTTTATGCATCTACATATAACTAATATATTATAAATGATGTAAATATTCTTATAATTATGCTAAGTAACATATAAATAGGTGAAAATTATTCTTTTCTGTAATGTTGCAGCAAAAATTGTAATTTATTTAATTTACAAAGTTTGAGATTTAAATTTTTTCTGTGGCTTTCTGTTCATTTTAGATAGCAATTTAAATGAATAAAAATACGTAAATGTTTGGAAGCTCTGAAATATTTATAGTTTTAAGGAAAAATTATTTTTTATGTCTTTAATTTGCTAAATTATCTTTACTTTTGTAGTGAATATTTATATTTCAAATCTTTTCCTTTTTCCTCTCCTTCTCAAACTGTAAAGACATTTTTTGCTAATAAATAACAGCCTTTTTATGTACTTATTTCAAT